TCCACCTAAACTCCATTTCTATGGAGCACACTTTGGCTTCAATTTCCTATTCACCCGATAATGGTTTTGAGGAACCAAATATACCATGTGAATCACAGCGCGGCATAGAACGCGTTACCACTTAGACCCGCCAACTTTGGCGCACGGGTCCTACCTAAAAAATAGACCAAAGTTAAGAAAATTTTTTGTTTTTACCCAGATTTTTTCCAAACATTTCTAACAATCCCCCACATAAATGGAATTTGACGACAACGAAAATGCAACAATATATAGACTTAGTCGAAAGAGTATAAATCGAAAATATCTTGCATCAGGATAGGTAGCTTTCGGCCTTGAAACTTCCCTAGTGATAACCTATCGGACTTACTAGCTAACCAATGGATGCGATGCCTTGAATTGTTCAGCCGTTTGTGTAAGCCAAGACAATAGATTTCACACAAAATATCTTCTAACACATCGTGGTTCTCACTGTTGTGATCATTTTGGCCTTGAATGCTCCTGGTTTTCATGAGTGCTTCTATAGAATTTAGCCTCTTCATTCTCATAGAACCAGCCCCAGTTCGACACTCATATAGGTGATTCTTATTGTGAGTATCTCCTTATACTCGTCTTGATTTATGCCTTAATCATGATATAAGTAATCATTAAAAGCAAAGCTTATCCTTACACCCCTGCAGACAACACATGGTGCAGATATCACTCTCGCCATAGGAATAGGTAAGGAATTTTAATCCCTTGGTGATTTCTGGCGAGCCACACATAACTTAGTTGTCCCTTTGAACTTAGTTCTTGAGATCTCCAGTCATATAAGTAGGGTTACCATTATGATGACTCTTATGTAATAGGCTTTAATCCCATCCTCTTCGATACACTTGCTCTTTAGTCAAACCTTTTGTTAACGGATTCGCAATATTCTCTTTAGATTTTATATAATCTATTGAGATTATTCTATTTGACAGCAATTGCTTTACGATATCATGTCGACAACGAATGTGTCGTGACTTACCATTATACATATGATTCTGTGCCCTGCCTATTGCAGATTGACTATCACAATGAATGCAAATAGCTGGCACAGGTTTTGGCCACATTGGAATGTCTTGTAAGAAGTGACGAAGCCATTCTGCTTCTTCTCCTACTTTGTCTAAAGCAATAAACTCAGATTCTATCGTGGACCGTGCGATGCATGTTTATTTCGTGGACTTCCAAGAAATAGCAGCGCCTCCCAGAGTAAAGACATATCCACTAGTGGATTTTGAATCTTTAGTATCCGATATCTAATTTTCATCACAATAACCTTCGAGTACTGTTGGATATCGAGTAAAGTTCAAACCATGATCACGGGTAAATCTTATATATCTAAGAACCCAAATGATCGCCTTCCAATGGTCTTCTCCGGGGTTACTAGTGTACGTACTCAATTTACTGACAGCATAAGCTATATCAGGATGAGTACAATTCATTAGGTACATTAGGCTTCCAATGATTTGGGAGTATTTTAACTGAGACACCGCATCACCTTTATTTTTCGATAAAAAGACTAATGTCTACAAGTGTTCTTGCTACATTCATATCATCCTTGATAAATTTACCAAGAATTTTCTCAATATAATGTGATTGAGATAATGCATATCCGTCAGATGTTTTAGTAATTTTCATTCCTAATATAACATCTGCGACCCCCATATCTTTCATATCAAATCTTTTGTTAAGCATTTACTTAGTTGATTTGATCATGTTTTGACTGCTTCCAATGATAAACATGTCATCCGCATAAAGACAAACTATGACATATCCTTGGTCATTGTTTTTAACATAGATGCACTTGTCATATTCGTTTATCATAAACCCATTAGTAAGCATTGCATGATCAAATTTTTCATGCCATTGCTTAGGCGCTTGTTTTAATCCATAAAGAGATTTTACAAGCTGACAGACTTTCTTTTCTTGTCCCGGCACTACAAACCCTTCGGGTTACTCCATATAGATCTCTTCATTTAGATCACCATTTAAGAAAGCTATCTTAACATCCATTTGATGTATCTCTGAATTAAACAACACTGCTATAGCAATAAGCATGCGAATGGATGTTATTCTTGTCACAGGGGAATATGTGTCAAAATAGTCCAGACCTTTCTTTTGTCTGTAACTTTTTACTATAAGTCTTGCTTTATACTTGTCTATTAAACCATTTGCTTTCATTTTTCTCTTAAATATTCACTTATATCTAAGAGGTTTAGAACTAGGTGGAAGATCCACCAATTCCCAAGTATGATTTTGCATAATGGATTCAATTTCATTATTAACAGCCTCTTTCCACAAAGGTACTTCAGGACCTGTCATTGCTTCCTTAAAGCTTTGAGGTTCATTTTCAAAGAGGTATGTCAGAAAATTTGGACCAAAGGATTTTGATGTTCTTGCTCTCTTACTTCGTCTTGGTTCATCATCAGTTAAATCCTGTTGGTCGAGACCGTTACTAGTCTCTTGTGTTTGATTGTCATTAGTCACTTGACTTTGTGTACAATTATAGGTTGCGTTTGGTAGAGTTTTGTAAATATGATTTGAGAGTATGAGTTGTATTTTGAGTTTGTGAGTTGTGGAATTATGATTTGAGTGTAGAAAATTTGTTTGGTTATGGTTTTTGAATAGAATGTTGAAGTGTGTTTTGAATTGTATGTGGAATTGAGTTTTGAGAGTTTAATGTGACATATGAAATAAGAAAATTTGTTTCAAAATAGTTTTCAGAACTTAATTCAACCTTTAATTGATAATCAAACACACAGCTCATATATCGATATCCGTATTTTTGAGCAACAGTCATAACTAAACTATTTTTAAAATACTCAAATTAAAAAATAAATTTTTTTTTTCAATTAATTGTTTTTAAGTAATTTTTTTGAATAATTTTTTTTGTCAAATATTTTTTTTAAATAACTTCTATGTGAATTATTTTGTGTCAATTAATTTTTGTGTGAATTCATTTTTTTGACCTGTGAAAAGATTTTGTACATTACGTTTTTAATTTTTTTTTTTTTAAAATTTTGTTCAAGTCAACAACTTTGGAGATATATTGATAACAATTAACATAAATCAGTGTGTTAATATTTTTAAATACAAACCAATACATAAATGTTACCAAACATTTTCATTACTTTTTCATTTATTACATTTTATTAATGTAATAAAAAATTCGTTTGGAAAAGTGCATGCATTATTGTACTCTTGCAAGTCAGTCACCCGTGAAGGCCACAGAAGGTCGTATAATTGGGGGTGTAATATTTGTGTATGAAATTACCAATTCGCCCCTCTTTAATTGAATGGTAGAACAAAATAAGAAGGATAATATTGTCATTTCACATATCCAAGACATCTACCCCCTCCTATCCATCATGACTGTGGAATAAAGAAAAGAGAGACGATGACAAAAACCTGCAGACATGGTTAGTCTACGGATGTAATTACAATTAAGTAAGGAAAAAAAAAACTGTAGGAAATCAAAAGTAAGTAAGAAAAAAATAAAAAATAAAAACCTCCTGGACCTTATGAACCTCAGCCTCTATATAAGATCTGAGTCTGCACCATCTTCACCATCCAGAATTCCAACACACCATCTGAGCCCATCTCATTCCAACACCCAGCAGCTCCATCACACTATAATATTCACTACGTAGAAGGCAGTGTAGAAGAAAGAGAGAAGAGGTTAGTTCATATTGTTGATAGCTTGAGAGCCGAGTTGGAGGGAGGCGAATTGTAGGCGGAGAACGGCCACTAGGGACAACCGGCCGGTCATCTGGCTAGTCATCCGGTTCAGCCACCAATTCGCCCTCCACGCTCAGTTTCGTTATCTGTTACCTATCTGTTCCATTTTTCGCACCAACATCATACATTTTTCATACCTTTTTCTTAACTTCACACCAACATCATACATTTTATTATACGTTTTTCATATATTTTTCTTAACTCTTACATAAATTTTTCTTAACTTTTGTAGATCATGCCGAGAACATAAAGAGCGAGACTCGAACGTGGCAAACCCTCTAACCTCGTACAACGTCAACGCAGTAACAACATCATGACTATCCAACTAATGATTTTCTCACATATCATCAAGAACAAGACTATTCAACTTTTGCTAATCAACCAATTGTTACGGGGAGAAAGGTAAATCTACCTTCTCGATATGATTCACTGTTGCTTGGCAGATTGGATACAATGGGATGGTTACTTTTAACTAATTTACCACATAAGATATATCCCCGTCTTGTACAGTTATTTTACGTTCATTTGACATTTGCTGAGCAACAAGTGGAACCCTTAACTCTGACCTCTTATGTGAAAGGGAAAGCAATCACACTTAGTCCCCACACTTTCGCACAAATTATTGGAGTTGAAACAGGAGATTTGCAATGCTATTTCAAAATGAGGCTCAGTTAGCTACCATTGTTGATGATGTAACTGAGGTTTATACTACAATTTGTGAGAACTGATTCACCGACACTAATTTACATGCCAGGCATTTAAAACCCCACCTTCGTATTCTTCATCAATGGATAGTTGAAAATGTCACTCCCAAAAAAGGACATTTTGATGATGTTCCACGTTTTAATGTTTATTTGTTATATTGTTTTGAAATTGGACAAAAATTCGATTTATGCTTCATATTACTGAGAGAAATGATGGTTGCAAAATTTGATACTCTGAGTGGTCGGTCACTACCTTTTGGAGCTTTGTTAACAATAATTTTCAAAGCGCATCATGTCATCCTTGAAGGTGAAGTAGATGTGAGAATCATTTCACCAATTTCTGAGTGCACACTGACCCGAGCCGGTGGTGCTAACACCTTCTGGGCTCTATTCATTTTGAAAATGAACCAATACCTGATGAGGAAGAACCCAATGACAATGCCATGCCACCAAATGAACAACCTCAATACTGAACTGATTATTTAGCGTTGGAACACGAACGGTATAATCAGCGCCTACAATGGGAACAACAAATGGCTACCTATGTTGTGACATGTCAACATAGTCAGATTGGTGTCTAACAACCCCGTTTGCTTCCTCTTCTGCCGCCATTAAACGGATCCAATTGTGCACTACACAACATGCAATCATGAGAGGCCCTTGTCTTGTAGACTTGTAATTTGGCATAGACCGCAATATTGGGAATCGCTTCTTCAGAACACCAAATGTTCTTTCTATGACATTGCGTAATGACGAATGCCGATGGTTAAACAATTCCTTGGGTCTTGAATAATGACGGCCATGAAACTCTTGCAAGTGATAGCGTTGGGAACGAAATAGGGCTAGAAATCCAAGCATGTTCGTGAAACCAGCATCCACTAAATAATACTTCCTTACATGTAAATAATGAATGCATTGTTCTATCAAACATATGACAAACGAAAAAATAATTTGGAAAAGTGTACCACATGTTATTTCATGGCACTCACCATTGAGTGGGTGTGGGAACTGAAGATCAGCTCTTGTAATAGAGTCAACTAAAATAGCATTGTCGTGTGTGCTACCTTCCTATCTAGAATTAATAAATGTGAACAACATGTCGAAGTCGCACGCTGCGAGTACATTTTGCGATACCGTAGATTTGCAACCGCGGAATGTATTTTGTCTTAAAGTAGAGACCCATGCATCCACCAATGTGCCATCGGTAGCACCGACACAATCCTAATTGAAAGATATTTGTTTGACATTAAAAGTGAAAAAAACTTGGATATTACTTATGCAAACGGATCCAAAAAAATATCGTCCCTTATTGTTATGTAGAACTTACAGGATAATCATTAAATTCATACCTTGAACCATGGGAAAAACCTCTTGTCATTTAAAATTTTTTTCCGAAATCTCGTATTGGTTACGTGGTTTGATAACCGTTGATGCAAGCTTGCACAATGCTCGCATAACAATTTTTATGTGCCAACAAATTGTTTCTGTGGAGTGTTGAAATCTATTTGCCAGTAGTCGATGATGATCATTTTGTGCAAAAGTGCATAAAAAAATCCTAAGCGATTCCTCCACACTGATATGCATATGTTCAGTATCGATAAAGCCATTTTGCATGTCTTTCAATAAAATGAATGTTGGTGCATCCATTCGCATAATGTCCATCATTGTTTCTGGATGGCCATTCAATAAGCTGAAAATGTAATCATCACCTTTGAATGGACAAGTTCGCTGCGGTCGGCGACTACTTGACGCGTTGATATAGTCATGCATGAAAGCAATCATCAAAAAATCCATAAGATCTTCAATAACCTCATCCTCCTCTGATGAGATCTCCATTGCATTGTTTGCTGTGTCGGATGACATTGCCTACATCACAGTAAATGCATAATTACAAAATAATGTTTGACAAATCGTAACACATACCATTATTGGTGAAACTGAATTAAAAAGTGGCTACATGAATAGTCGGCCTTAGTCATTTAACAGCGTACACTGAAATTCATACGACAACAAAATTTGTTTACTAAGTAGTCATATTGTAATAAGACAACATGTTTTTAATAAAACAGAAACTACTTAAAAGTTCAATAAAAGTAAACATACGAAGATAGAAAAGGAAGAGCATCTCATTGAATGAAAAAAAAATGATAAAAAACAAATTAGGAATCATGAAATCATCTTGCACACCGGCAGAGAGATTCGCTAACACAATGAAAACACAACTTCTCACTTCACTACAAAGCGAAGATCATAGCTAGGCGCATATGGGTAGGAGTACGCATAAAAAACCTTCGCCATTCCTTGTCCTTAAACAGTGTCAGTGCCCTAACGTACTACACCGGTGGTATGTCCCCAAGCTCTAGCAATGCATCTTGACATGCATCAAGGGAATACTCATCACCACCTGCACTTACAGCCTCTGTGCCATTTTCTCCTACACGTGAATGTTCTATTTTTGCCTGTACGTAGGATGTGAAAGCTACGCACACATCATCGAACCCACTTGACCGTGACATTTTGGAATGACCACTGTTAGTGTGGCTGCTTGTAGGGCCCCTCTTGTGACTTTTGCCCTTTGGATCCATGTACTCATCGCCGAATAAGTCAACCGGAATGGCCTCAGCAACATTACTCCCACCAACATCAGGGTTCAAAAATTTATTTAGCATTTCATCTTCTTCATCTGAGTCAAGGGCACCTTGTGTGGATGCACGAGACAAGGCCCCTGTGGCACAACAATTTTCAACAATTTCTGCCATTTCTTGGAAATACTCAAACCCTTTTGTCCTAAACATCTTTACAATTCTGGGAGCCTACAACAATTGAAAATAATGAATTAAGCATACTATGTGTCATGAAATGTATGAAGGAAAAAATTGAAAATGGTTCAGGTTAATGAAAAACCTTATCCCAAAATTCATCGGGTGCAACAACGGTGCCTATAATGGGATCCCATCCCAGATCAGTCTGTGCATGGAGTCGCTTAAATGTCTGGTAATCAGCTTTCAATCGCTGATATTTTTGTTGCACCTGCTTTCCTGTATACCGAAATCCATACAGACTGTTGTAGACACCCCATTTTTGACTGTCTTCAAGACTTGGACGTCACCGTTGGAACACTTGGTGATCATCCGTGCTTGTGTTCGCCGCGAGTTCCTGGAGGTCTCGGTTGCGCGCCTCGCCTTAGGATCTCTTGACTCGACTTTTCGGTGTCTGGTTTTGCACCAAACACTTGTGTTTTTGCCTTGAAAGGCAGGGAATGGCTTGTTGGCCATTCCCACACCCCACTGGCTGTCCTCTTACATCACCGGCTGTTTATTGGTGCCACCGGCAGTGGTTTCTTAAAACCAATGGCCGGTCGGCACTATATTTTGCCGACCGGCACTTTGTTTTGGCCGGTGACCTTTTTTTTGCTGGCTGGTGTGACCCTTTGGCACCCTTCAGACTTGGTGCATTCCAGCATGCCAGCTGTGCCAGCTGGAATGCACCAACACTCCTCCCCGTGCATAAAGTAACTATTTTGCCCCTTTTGCCCCCTTTTGGTCAAAGCTTCTTGAGGAAGCTTGACCCTTTGTCAAAGCTTCCTCAAGAAGCTTAGCCAGCTGTCTTAGCTTCCTCAAGAAGCCTTGACCCCTTGCCCCCTTTGCCCCCTTTTACTTAGCTTCTTTGAGAAGCTTGAGACCATTTCTTTTGCCTATATAAGCACCTCTCTTCTTCCATTGTAGAGGGTTGGAGTTTTGAACATAAAAACCAGAGCTTATATACATATACATCTGATATACACACTTTCTCTCTATATTTCCCTCTCTCTCCTCCCTTGTGTGTGTTTTCTTGGCCTAAAAGTGCATTTGCCTCAGGATCTCTCGACTCGACTTTTCGGTGTCTGGTTTTGCACCAAACACTTGTGTTTTTGCCTTGAAAGGCAGGGAATGGCTTGTTGGCCATTCCCACACCCCACTGGCTGTCCTCTTACATCACCGGCTATTTATTGGTGCCACCGGCAGTGGTTTCTTAAAACCAACGGCCGGTCGGCACTATATTTTGCTGACCGGCACTTTGTTTTGGCCGGTGACCTTTTTTTTGCTGGCTGGTGTGACCCTTTGGCACCCTTCAGACTTGGTGCATGCCACCTGTGCCAGCTGGAATGCACCAACATTCCTCCCCGTGCATGAAGTAACTATTTTGCCCCTTTTGCCCCCTTTTGGTCAAAGCTTCTTGAGGAAGCTTGACCCTTTGTCAAAGCTTCCTCAAGAAGCTTAGCCAGCTGTCTTAGCTTCCTCAAGAAGCCTTGACCCCTTGCCCCCTTTGCCCCCTTTTACTTAGCTTCTTTGAGAAGCTTGAGACCATTTCTTTTGCCTATATAAGCACCTCTCTTCTTCCATTGTAGAGGGTTGGAGTTTTGAACATAAAAACCAGAGCTTATATACATATACATCTGATATACACACTTTCTCTCTATATTTCCCTCTCTCTCCTCCCTTGTGTGTGTTTTCTTGGCCTAAAAGTGCATTTTGACCTTACTTTTGCACTAATACACACACCATTACACCTTGCTCCGAGATATTGAGGGTTATTTTTTGAGATTTTGGACTGATTTTGCTCAGTAGAGTGTGGCTGGACCAACTGTTCTTGAAGTGTTCTTCAAGGGTAAGACTTTCACTTTAGTTTCCCCAATCTTGCATTGGCTTTTGACCTATCTTGCATGCTGATTCAAGCTTTGAGTATAACATAAAAAAGTCTTACATTTTCATGCTTAAGAACTTTCATTAAGGGTGTTTTGGGGTTTGGGGTCGAACTCACCCTCTTAGGCCTTGTTTGGCCCTTTTGGTGCTTCCATTGTTAGGCTTTATTTGCTTGAGTGTTTGGTTCTTTTCACCACTGAAATCCAGTGGATTCTCAGTGGTAAAGAAGTGGGTTTGAGGTCTTGCATAGGGGAGGGACACCCCTCTCCCTTGGTCTCTCTCTTGTTTGCATATTTGGCTCAATGTGGTAGCATGCATGTCTAATCTTGTTTAGCTTCATTTCAGAGCTTATTTGGTGTTTATACAACATGTTTTACCTCAGTCTCATGTGGGTTTGTTAGTCTCTTTCATGCATATTATACTTGCTTTATATCTCCTCAAGGTTGCCTAGAGGTATGCTATACATTAAGGCCAGGATTCTCGCATGATCTAGCCTAATATTATGAAGGTATTAACATCATTTTGCCATGTTCAAGATCTGTTGGCCACTGTTTCAGCCATGCTTGCCATGTTTGGTGTCGCCTCTTTGCATTTTGGCTTGAGAACCTTAAGGGGATGGGTGATGAACATGCATTGGTTAAGCTATTTCGGTGATCTGGAATCACTTAGCATATCATTTCAGTCCCTAAACCATGCTTGTATACTTGCATTCATCGCTCCTCTCATGCTTTGAAGTTGTACCCTCTTATGCCTTGAAAAGTGCATTGTGTATGCCTAGGTGTTTGTTTCATTTGGGATGCCATATGTGTGGGTTTTGGAGCTCTTTTGAAAGTGAGAGCGGCGGCCAGAAGCTCTCTAGTCCTCTATGTCGTGGCATACCGAGCAATCTGTACGCCTCGGACCGGAAATGCAGCAGGATACTCTACCCCCTCTGCCGGGCAAGTCTGATCATGTCTGAACTGACGCCGGAACTGGAAAGGAAAATAGAACACACAGTGTATCATGCCAATCAACTAAATCCCTGGTTGGCAAGTCATACTGTAACTCATTGTCGGCAGATTGAGCCAAGGACAACGCTAAGCAATGCGGTCTGCGGATAAACTGCGCATCCAGTTACACCACCATCCCTCGTTAAGGGCATCAACTAGACGTCGTCAGAAGAAATAGCTGCGAGCTGAGTATGTGGGACAGGAGTCCATAATCTTCAATTTGTCCATCAACCATATCTGGGAAGGGATTAAAAATGAGAGATTAAAGAATAGAGAGGTGTACGT